TGTGTATCAGTTTACATGCTTGATAAGATCTATGCAGGAAGTAATGGTATCTCTATATGTTTTTTTCAGTTCTGGTACCTCTTCTGTCCTGAATGGAGCCATCAACACCAAACAGAATTTATTCTTAACGAGAAAACACAAATAATTTAAATAGCTAATGGTATATTTCCTTTTATTGTGAAGCTTCTCATTATGGATCTGTCATTTTCCTGACTTTCGCGGCATTTGTCTTACTGAGATCACCTGACACTATTACACCTACTTGTTCTAGCCACGGTACTGACTTGTATTTTTACATACCTACCTTACATGTTCTGCTCAGTCTATGAGATGGTCCTCTTCTATTTTGCATCCTGTGCTTATTTATCATTCTTTACACTTTTTCATATTTAAACAGTGGGAATTTGTCGCCAGTGAAAATCATGTTAATTATACTGCCCACTGGAAGACTTTGTTAACATCTGCAATTTTTTTTTGTCTTCCGTCGATGCCACTTTAATGCTTATTTTGGCATCGTCCGCCAAGAATGATATAAACCTGTTGATGGTGTTCTTTGTCTATGTTTGGTTTAAGGGTAAGATACAGCAAAGGAGTCAGGGCCGCGCCTTGGGGCACTAAACTTTTCTTTACTAAGGTTGAATTTTGCTTTGTTTACTAGCGTTCTTTGTGCTCTATTAGTTAGAAAATTTCATGCTTGCCCCATAAAATACGTCACACCATCATTTCACTATTATTGTGAGTGATGTTGGTACTACCGGTCTGGATTTTTTTTTACCAGGATGGTTTCCCGGAGAATGTCTCTCTATTTATTTTGTTCCAGTTAATTCTGTGCGTCTTGAGTTTAGTTACGGTATTTCCCGGTATATAAGGCGCACGAGCATTACAACTTTATTACCAATAATTAAATGCATGTCCTTTTATATAACACCACTTGTCAGTAACACAAAGTCTACCCTCGACCCTAATCTTGAGCATATAAGCCGCAGGCTGATTTTCCAAGACTTTTCTGAAAAAAAAACGCGCTCCTTATAAGCCGGAAAACACGGTAGTAAACCTTCTTTAACGGTTCTTTACTCGTGGATTTATGCTTGTTTGTATTTCAATAAGACTGTGATCAGTTTATTGTATTTGAGATTATCCTGTCTTATTAGTTTACCACTGGTTGCGAAGATCAACTTGAGTGTTTTAATTTCTAGTAGGTTGTGTTTTATATGTATTCAATGTGAACTTTTTAAGAGTTGTAGAAGTTCCCCGGTTTATGTTACTGTTGCACTAGAGTATTTCCAGGTACTGTATCTCATACGATCATTACACAATAAATGAGGGAACTAGATGGAAAATTGTAAACCTGAGGGGAAAAAGAAAATATTACCTAATCAAGCAGGAAATAACAATAGAACATTTAAATATTAAAATAACTAAGACAAAATGAATTAATGTAACCTGAAAATTAAGACATGTGCAACATCTGGGTATCTTTATTGTAGACGTTTCGTCCTCCAGTGGCTTTATCAATACAGATTCTAGGACATAACTTGAAGATAGAAGAACTATGTACAGAAGATGAGGTAATCAGTCCCTCAGCCTTAGCTGCGAGACTGATTACCTCACCTTTTGTATATAGTTCTACTGTCTTCAAGTTATGTCCTAGAATCTGTATTGATAAAGCCACTGGATGGCGAAACGTCTACAATAAAGATACCCAGATGTTGAACAAATCTTAATTTCCATCTTGTCGGTATTGTATACCATTCTTGCAGATAATGTAACCTGGTTCAATGAAGGATATTCAGATGACAGTCACAGTGCAGTGTTGAGAGGAGAACCACAAGTGAACAAAACAAGGAAAATATAAACACGTGGAAGATTTAAAAGTATCAAACCAAATTTGAAGATAGCTACGCTGGATAATGAAAACAAAGGTGGGCGTGGCTGCAAATGGGTGGCGTCGTCATGAATGAATGGGCGTGGCTCCGAATGGGTGGTCGTTGAGGGTTATACATTTATAAGAGCCTGTCCTAGAGTGAATGCAGGAGTGTCAATGGGGTGTGTCCACGAGTACAAAGGGCGTGTCAAAAAAGGTTAGAAAGGGCTCGCTCAAGGGTACAAAAGACGTACCCAGTTGTGCACATGGAGTGTTCAGAGGTACAAAGGGCGTGTCCATGGATATAAAAGGCGTGTCCAAGGATGCAAAGGTTGTTCTCGAATGCAAGGTGTCTCCAAGGGTGATCGGAACGGTGTGGTGGGGTGTGTTGGGAGGAATACGCCTGTAAGGCGTGAAGAAGGTCCAAAAGGGATGGGCGAGGGACAGGTGTTGGCAGCAAGTTTACACACCTGTAAGGCGTGGAGGAGGGCCAAAAGGATGGACGAGGGACAGGTGTTGGCAGCAAGTTTACACACTAGCCACTGGACAGCCTTAACTACATCTGCCACAAGTCCACGTCCCCTACACACACATACACACACACATACACACACACACACACACACACACACACACACACACACACACACACACACACACACACACACACATACATACACACACATTTATTGACGCCCTTCTATACATGAAAACACAAACTACATCCGTAACACATATGCGTACACACACATACATATGTATACATGCAAAACAACCACTCTGAAAGAATAGAGAAATTCCAAGCGCTTTCGTGACTACTCACATTATCATAGTTCCTTGATAATGTGAGTAGTCACGAAAGCGCTTGGAATTTCTCTATTCTTTCAGAGTGGTTGTTTTGCATATTCTGAAATCACCTGTTTACTGTGATCTTATTGCATATGTATACATATACACATTATACACCAACACACTCACTAACCCCCCCCCAAATACACGTGTACATGCACATCCCATCCCCCACATACATTTAATACCCTAGACACACTTGTGGCCGGATTCAAAGATGCCTTTACCCTAACAGGCCACTCTCAGACTTCCCTGTTGACCAGCTGATCAACCAGGATGTTGGTGCTAGTAGTCCGCAGACCCATGTGACCAGGTACTGGCAGCCATCCCCGCAGTCTCTTCACACCTGCCAAGAAAGCTCACCTGCCTTCACCTGCCAGGAAAAGCTCACTGCTGACAATATCGTGATAATTCAACCAATGACACTGACACACTTATTAGTGGTACGACTATTTTTTTAGAGCCGGTAAGAGCAATGTGTATATTTACATACATGCTCGCCCTGCTTTCCATATTTCACAATGTGTGCAGCTGAATATAAATGTTTTCAACAAGTAGCTAGACAGCTGAAGGAAGGGAAGGGACAGGGCGTGTCTGGGGGTAAGAGGGTATCCCTCAGGGATACATGAAGGATGTTTCCGGGGAAAAGTGTTTGTGGAAGGATAGGGAGAGGAGAAGGCGGTGTGTTTTTAGAGAAAGAGAGAGAGAGAGGAGAGAGAGAGGAGAGAGAGAGAGAGAGAGAGAGAGAGAGAGAGAGAGAGAGAGAGAGAGAGAGAGAGAGAGAGAGAGAGAGAGAGAGAGAGAGAGAGAGAGAGAGAGAGAGAGAGAGAGAGAGAGAGAGAGAGAGAGAGAGAGAGAGAGAGAGAGAGAGAGAGAGGGAGAGAGAGAGAGAGAGAGAGAGAGAGAGAGAGAGAGAGAGAGAGAGAGAGTGTTACACACTTAAATGGACGAGTGTCAGGATAAGATTATACACGTGTGGACCCGTGTGGTGAGTAGACAATACGGTGTCGCCATCGACACGTGAGATCTCGTGTAGTGAGCAGGCAGCACGGTGTCAACTCAGTCATCATGACACTGAAGAATTAATTATAGAGAGAATACAAACAGACAACTAAAACAGTGAGAGTTGACAACACGCGAAGTCTGCAGATAGGAAAGGCATCTTGTTTTGTAGTTATACTAAGTCAACCGTTATACACACGAGTGTACATGATACGGTGGAGAGTCACAATACCCTGGCTGGAACACAGATAACCAACACTTAGGAGATACATTTTCACGACGTTTTGGCCCGACTTGGACCACTAATAAGTCACTGTTTTATACCTATACAAACTCCACCACTAGAAACACAGTAAATGGTATGGTGATACTGACCAGAGGTGGGGAAACACTTGTCGGTTTTCAAAACCATTCATCACATTAAGTGACGAGCTGGAAATGTACCGTTCAACACATCAGAGGACTGAAGAAGTCACTAGTGGCGAAACGTTTCCCCTAATAAATGTCTCAAACTATACAAATGAAGAAACCATCCATGACAAAACATTGCTCAGACGCTATACAAATTCCGCCATTGCTGAGTTACTACTATGTGGAAGACACTCATAACGAAGTACCACAGTGAAAACTGGAAATAAAACCCGAGCGATTTCACGTGCTTACACACATCCTCTGAAGATATGCGTAAACACATACCTTACCTTTGCTGTACCTCTGATGAGTTCCGAGAGTCTTTCTACTCCCGGAGCCAGGTCTTTAGCCAGGCTCGTCTGGTGCTAGCCTGATCAATCACATTGCTGCTGCTGGTGACCCGCTGCCCCACATAGCCATCACATCCTGGATTTATTTCCTATTTTCACTGTGGTATTTTTTCTTAGTTCAATATTTTTATCATGCACCCCGTACCCATGTTGTGGTGGTAGTCAAAGGATTACTGAGGTACATAATGGGTCCAGGAACTGTACCTCGACATTACTGAGGTACATAATGGGTCCAGGAACTGGTAAGTTTTGATAGCTGAACAAGTTACAGTGGTAATAAACTATTTACATGTTTATATCTGGTTACCATCGTAATGAGTTATTTATACAAACAAATGAAGTATAGGAGAAAGAGTGCTCATCTTTGTTTCCAAAATTATTATCTCGTCTTATAATTATTTTTCGTATGGGAAGATTTTTTTGAGCAAGAGCGCCTAAGGCTGGACTGCAAACCAAGAAAAAACTCAGAATCAATTACAAGTATATCACAAATTATAACAAGTAATCAGTAAGGTGGTACTTACATGAGCTATACCGTTGACGCCATAACCGGAATTTACAAAGCCCTGAAAAAGAAGGTTGACCTTTAATATGAAGCACATTTTATTTTAAATACCCCTCCTACCCCCACCTAAACATCCCATCCATACCAATCCTTCTTCCTTCCCCAACTTACGAAAACCCGTAGTCGAGGAAATTAATTGAAATACGTATTGTGTTCTCTCTTAGAATCAAATTAGAACCAGCTGTAGCAGACACAATCACAACATCTGTTTAAAACTTCCCAATCACAACAACTGTTTAAAACTTACCAATCACAACAACTGTTTAAAACTTACCAATCACAACATGTTTAAAACTTACCAATCACAACAACTGTTTAAAACTTCCCAATCACAACATCTGTTTAAAACTTCCCAATCACAACATCTGTTTATTAAAACTTGGCAGAGGGCGAGACAGGTGAATACTTTCACCTGTCTCTAGCTGCAACATGTCTCAAGATTCATTGTTATAAAATACAATGATTTTTACTAACAAGAAGAGGACAACATGTTCATTATTAGAACGCGTGTTGTTATAATTACGAGGTGATAAACAACATTATGGCAGAATCTAAACCATTAGCTAGACAATTATTGCTGGGAAACCAAACTTGGTCTCCAAACTTGATCTCCAAGCTTAACATCCAAGCTTTGTTTCCAAGCCCGATCTCTCAGATTGGTCTCCAAGCTTATCTTTACCTCTAGTAAGTTCCAAGTTTTTCTACTCCCAGATTTTACATCCTCACTCATAACTTCGAGACCTAAACAACCTGGATATTCATACTCAAATTACCCATGGCATAAAACATGGTTAAGAGGTGCCATATACACTACATCTTCTATGGGTGAGAAAATAAAGAGAACGTAAGGTTATATGAACCGTTTGAAAACACTGAAGAAAACATTGATAGTCCCAGTGACACACTGGAGGGTCCCGCTTTACAGCGTTTCGCTAACGCAGCGGTTTTCAGTGATACCAATTCTTCATTTATTCAGACTTCCTACAATTAATATATTCACTACTCACTATAACCTAAGTAATAGAATATTTTAAGGTAAGTAATGTGTGTACTGTATATGCATTTTTGAGACCTAACTTTATTGCTCACTTATTAATATATGATAGTGTAAACATTTTATAAGACTCTTGTATGCCTTTGAGAGTGAAAAAAAAAACGGTTGTTTCAATTTCCAGCAATTTTTGCTTTACAGCAGCAGCCCGGAACCTAACCCGCTGTATAAGCGGGGCCGCCTGTGTTGTAAGCGTAATACAACATGACCACATGTTGTATACCTGAGAAAACAGCTCAGAAAACACACGTCGAAAGACACACTTAAATAAAACCTTGTAAAATTAAACGTTTAGGTGAAGTTTTTTTTTTTTTTTTGTAAGGAAAACTAAGTCTTTCTTCAGCATCTCCACTACTGCTGTCTCTTTTGTATTTTAACTGAAGAAACCTGTTGAAGAGGCGAAACGTCTGGTCAATAGAGAGAGATGTCGTATACCATTGTTAAGTCTTACTGAAGAAGAGTGTCAACCTTCAGGAGAAAACAAGTAAAGGAAACAGATGAAGATGAGAGTATAAATACTCACACGCCAACAAAAAGTTGTGCAACTCAAAAAATAAATATCTACGTCCTTTTAAGAGGCGGTAAAAAGTTTTACAGGAAACTTGTTATCTACTGGTGGTAGAGAGAACACTGTTCAAGTAGCGCAGCCAGATACTACGTGTGTCATCCAGCCTCCAAACTTCCACATAATATAACACTGCTCCACATCTTCCATAATATAACACTGCTCCACATGTTCCACATAATATAACACTGCTCCACATGTTCCACATAATATAACACTGCTCCACATCTTCCACATAACACTACTCCACATCTTCCACATAATATAACACTGCTCCACATCTTCCATAATATAACACTGCTCCACATGTTCCACATAATATAACACTGCTCCACATAACACTACTCCACATCTTCCACATAATATAACACTGCTCCACATCTTCCACATAACACTGCTCCACATGTTCCACATAATATAACACTGCTCCACATCTTCCACATAATATAACACTGCTCCACATCTTCCACATAATATAACACTGCTCCACATCTTCCACATAATATAACACTGCTCCACATCTTCCACATAATATAACACTGCTCCACATCTTCCACATAATATAACACTGCTCCACATCTTCCATAATATAACACTGCTCCACATGTTCCACATAATATAACACTGCTCCACATCTTCCACATAACACTACTCCACATCTTCCACATAATATAACACTGCTCCACATCTTCCATAATATAACTCTGCTCCACATAATATAACACTGCTCCACATCTTCCACATAACACTACTCCACATCTTCCACATAATATAACACTGCTCCACATCTTCCACATAACACTGCTCCACATGTTCCACATAATATAACACTGCTCCACATCTTCAACATAATATAACACTGCTCCACATCTTCCACATAATATAACACTGCTCCACATCTTCCACATAATATAACACTGCTCCACATCTTCCACATAATATAACACTGCTCCACATCTTCCACATAATATAACACTGCTCCACATCTTCCACATAATATAACACTGCTCCACATCTTCCACATAATATAACACTGCTCCACATCTTCCACATAATATAACACTGCTCCACATCTTCCACATAATATAACACTGCTCCACATCTTCCACATAATATAACACTGCTCCACAACTTCCATAATATAACACTGCTCCACAACTTCCACATAACACTGCTCCACATGTTCCATATAATATAACACTGCTCCACATCTTCCACATAATATAACACTGCTCCACATCTTCCACATAACACTGCTCCACATCTTCCACATAATATAACACTGCTCCACATCTTCCACATAATATAACACTACTCCACATCTTCCACATAATATAACACTGCTCCACATCTTCCACATAACACTGCTCCACATGTTCCACATAATATAAAACTGCTCCACATGTTCCACATAATATAACACTGCTCCACATGTTCCACATAATATAACACTGCTCCACATGTTCCACATAATATAACACTGCTCCACATCTTCCACATAATATAAAACTGCTCCACATCTTCCATAATATAACACTGCTCCACATGTTCCACATAACACAGCTCCACATGTTCCACATAATATAACACTGCTCCACATGTTCCACATAATATAACACTGATCCACATGTTCCACATAACACTGCTCCACATGTTCCACATAATATAACACTGCTCCACATGTTCCACATAACACTGCTCCACATGTTCCACATAATATAACACTGCTCCACATGTTCCACATAACACTGCTCCACATGTTCCACATAATATAACACTGCTCCACATCTTCCACATAACACTGCTCCACATGTTCCACATAATATAACACTGCTCCACATGTTCCACATAATATAACACTGATCCACATGTTCCACATAACACTGCTCCACATGTTCCACATAACACTGCTCCACATGTTCCACATAATATAACACTGCTCCACATCTTCCACATAACACTGCTCCACATCTTCCACATAATATAACACTGCTCCACAACTTCCACATAATATAACACTGCTCCACAACTTCCACATAATATAACACTGCTCCACATCTTCCACATAATATAACACTGCTCCACATCTTCCACATAATATAACACTGCTCCACATCTTCCACATAATATAACACTGCTCCACATGTTCCACATAATATAACACTGCTCCACATGTTCCACATAATATAACACTGCTCCACATCTTCCACATAATATAACACTGCTCCACATGTTCCACATAATATAACACTGATCCACATGTTCCACATAACACTGCTCCACATGTTCCACATAATATAACACTGCTCCACATGTTCCACATAACACTGCTCCACATGTTCCACATAATATAACACTGTTCCACAACTTCCATAATATAACACTGCTCCACAACTTCCACATAATATAACACTGATCCACATGTTCCACATAACACTGCTCCACATGTTCCACATAATATAACACTGTTCCACAACTTCCATAATATAACACTGCTCCACATCTTCCACATAATATAACACTGCTCCACATCTTCCACATAATATAACACTGCTCCACATAATATAACACTGCTCCACATCTTCCACATAATATAACACTGCTCCACATCTTCCACATAATATAACACTGCTCCACATCTTCCACATAATATAACACTGCTCCACAACTTCCATAATATAACACTGCTACACATCTTCCACATAACACTGCTCCACATAATATAACACTACTCCACATCTTCCACATAATATAACACTGCTCCACATCTTCCACATAACACTGCTCCACATGTTCCACATAATATAACACTGCTCCACATATTTCACATAATATAACACTGCTCCACATCTTCCACATAATATAACACTGCTCCACATCTTCCACATAACACTGCTCCACATGTTCCACATAATATAACACTTCTCCACATCTTCCACATAACACTGCTCCACATAATATAACACTGCTCCACATCTTCCACATAATATAACACTGCTCCACATCTTCCACATAACACTGCTCCACATAATATAACACTGCTCCACATCTTCCACATAACACTGCTCCACATCTTCCACATAATATAACACTGCTCCACAACTTCCACATAATATAACACTGCTCCACATCTTCCACATAATATAACACTGCTCCACATCTTCCACATATTACACTGCTCCACATCTTCCACACTCAGTAACATCCTCCTCTAACCACTTACACACAAGATGAACCTTGCAAGTCGGCATCAAAGTATTGTTTAATCATCTTAAGCTACCTGAAAACCGTCTATTTCCGACACTCGTAACTATAAGGTGAAACAGCAAGCGCTAAAAAGAACGTATATCCTGGTTAAGGGAAACCTAACCTTACATTACCCATT